CTTCATTGTCTCTAGTAGATAATATTATGGTCTGGTGGTTAGTGCAACTGGATCCCACATGGCCAGCTGCAGCTGCCCAGATGAAGTCTTAGACCCAATCTTGAGAAATGCAACAGAACCAACCATGTGTGTGGTACCCAAAATCGCAAAAAGAGAGAGAGAGGAGAAGGGATTGTGGCAAGACCATTCCCCATAAGAGATGCTTTCTCTCCCTCTCCTGTGTGTGTGTGTGTGTGTGTGTGTGTCTAGTGAGCCCACATGTCTTCTGGCAAATAGAGAAAAAAATTTCTTTATGCCAATGCATAAAGAAATTCTGGAAGAATACATAAGAAACTAGTAAAAATAGCTATACAAAGGAGACAGAATTAGATACATAAGGGCTGGAAAGGGAGAGAAACGTTTACAATATATGATTTTATATTATTAGCTTTTACCCTTTTGAATGTGTTACCTATTCAAGAAAAATCTTTCATGCATTTCCATTATCAGGAAATACTATCAGGTTGTGGGAAAAGTCGAGTTGTGTTTTTGTAGAGAAAAAAGAATAAATAAATTAAAAAGTACATCATGACTTTTCAAACAACCCAATATATTTGCTTAATAAAGAATTTTTTTAATCTCCATGTAACATTCTCTTGCCCAGTTTCCCATCAGTACTTTCTCCCCCCATTTCTTTTAAATGCCTTTTTCTTTAAAAAAAATGCCCAGTTTCCCATCAGTACTTTCTCCCCCCCCAGTTCTACTTAAATGCCTTTTTCTTTAAAAAAAAAAAATTATTTTTTTTTATTTATTCATTCATTTATTTTGACCAGAGAGAGACACACAGGAGAGAGGGAGAAAGGGAGAAAGCAAGCCACCATGTCCAGGACTCAAACCATGGTCGGCCATGTGGGAGTGTCCAGCACCATAACCACCACGCCACCTGCTGGTCCCTAAATGCCTTTTTCAATACTCACAAAGATTCAACTGAGGGAAACAGTGGAGGCAGAGCATTTTAGTTGCAATTGATTTGATTTAAACTGAAATCTAGTAAGACTTGATCCTGACGCTGAATAATAGCTTGTGAGAACATTTGTCTAAAATTGTGCCTGCTTTCTGCTAACATTTAGTGATCTAACGATCAGCAAGTGTGGTAAAAAAAAAAAAAGTTTTTATTCTTGAATAAAGGCAATCATTACCAAACACACTCTGAAAAATTCATATCTTTTTTATTTCACTAGCCAAAGCAGATTTAGGTGTAACTGAATAGCCACACTGAACTTTCTCTTTTAATAATACACCAACTTTTAAAATAGTTAAGCCATTAGTTTATATTTAGAAAGCTGTAATCATCTGAGGTCTTATACAGCCTTCCATTTATTAAAAATGAATTCACACAAAAAGGCAACAATGTTTGAATTTGCTGTTCAAAAGACCCTCTCAGCAAGAAGTAATAAAATGTCAACTTCATTTAAATGAGACATTATTGACCCCCATTAGTAGGACACAGGCTTGGCTTGGCTTTTTCTAATGGTGATGATGGATTTGCTCTTGTCCATCTACTCCCTCCTACCCTGTCCTCTCATGACCTGGGGCAGACATATGCTAGACAGCTGGCTGGACCCAGTCTGTGGCCACTGAACAAAGCAAACCCTGCTGGCCCACACAAAGATTGAACCTGTGACCTTGTTCTCATTAGCCCATGCCCTAACCACCTGAGCTAAACAGCCACACACAAGTAAAAAAGAAAAAAAGGATAGATTGAACTTGGTGTAGTTAGATGTCCGCATGTGGGTGTCAAAGCCAGGTATCAAATAATATATAATAACCAACATAAAACAGGTGCTTATGTTTTAGAGTGTTATTATGTCTTATATATCTTGTGTCTCATGCCCCAGTGGCCCAGTGGGATCTTCCAAGTGGAGAGTCAAAAATATGGTCACCTTTATAGGAATTTTATTTTAACTCCGGAACATAATTCAACATGGTGCCAACTCTGAAATAAAGAACTTGACCATTGAGATTAGTCATTATCCGGTATGTATTAGGAGTTTCCGGGAGCAATAGATTTCACATTTCACATGATCTGAGTTCCACAAGGCCTTGGGATAAAAGAAAGGATAAGATTAGTGCACTCATGCAACACATAATGTTTCAGTCAACAACAGACCACATATAAGACAATGCCCCCATAAGATTATCACAGGCTATTGTATGTAGCCTAGCTATGCAGTAGGCTATGCCATCTAAACTTGGGTAAGTGAACATTATCATCCTATAAATGTTCACACAATCATGAAATCACTGAGTGATGCATTTCCTACAACCTCTTCCTGTTGTTATGCAAGGAATACTAAAGTTGATGACTATAGTTGAGAATGAAAACAAGAGCCAAGAATATGTGACTAGAAGACACTGATGCTGATATCCAGACAAACTTCCTGCTCTATCAGTTAATCTAGAAGTTTGCAAATATCCAGTGTGTTTTGGGACCACCAGATGGCATAATAGTTACATTGCTGGACTCCCATGTAACGGACTGCAGTTCAAGTCCCAGATCTGGTGTTAAAGCCCACACAGGGTGCATGTGTGTGTGTGCCCAAGATCTCAAGAGGAGACTGGAGGGAAAGGGATTGCAGTGTGGCCATTCCCCAGGGGGATGATTTCTCTCTGTCTCTCGCTGTCTCTCTGGCAAGCATGTGCATGCACCCTATAGCAAAAATCTCTAAAAAAAAAAAAAATCCAGTGTGTTTTTTATGTCTTAGCACTTCTTGTTATAGAGATCTCCTAACAGGAAAGGGGTCTCCTCTTGTGGAATAAACAATCACGGCCGTAGTCCAGTCCCGAGATGGAGGCCACCATGAAGAAGGAGGCTGCAGAAGATGTCAATGTTACTTTGGGTTGTTTTTTGTTTTTTTGTTTTTTTGGGTTTTTTTGAGAAGTTTTCACTATAGGGCGCGTGCATTCGCCAGATAGTCAGAGAGAGACAGAGAGATAGAAAACGAGAAATCACTCCCCAGGGGGGATGGCCATGCCACAATCCCTTCTCCTCCATTCTCCTCTTGGGTTTTGCACGCACACGCGCCCAGCGTGAGTTTTAAGCCACCGGGTCCAGGACGCGAACCGTGGTCGACTACGTGGGAGTCCAGCAACAAAGCCATTACGCTAACTGCTGGTTCCCCCCAATGTTACTTCTGAAGAACAACAAAAGATAAACAAATTTGCATGGAATATGAGTAGAATCAGAGCTAAGAGAAGAAATTGAAGTAAAAAAGAAAATTCCAAAACTTAGCAGATGCTTGTGATGACATCATGCTTGCAGATAACGACTGTGTAATGATACCTGATCCAATCAGTGACATTTCCATCAGTCAGTCTCAAGAAGAGACTCAAGAAATGCTAGAAGAAGCAAAGGAAAATTTTCAAGAAGAAATTGATGCTTTAGAATCCAGAGTGGAATCGATTCAGTGGGTGTTTACAGATTTGAAAATTCAGTTTTATGCAAAATTTGGAAGCACCATAAACCTTGAAGCTAATGAAAGTTAAACACTTTATAAGACTTTTTTCATTTGTTTAATAAACTTGAATACTGTTCAAAATGAAAAAAGAGAAAAAAACATAGACTACACAATCACAAGGAAAGTCATTGAAGTCTAGATCCCCAGGTTTTTTCTCGTCCCTGAATAGACAGTGATTATGGTGCCAACCACTACGCATCACCCAAACTGTAGGTCCAACACAACATTCACACAGTGTGGAAACTCCCAGGTTAGACCAGAAATGTAACCACAAATAGAATATAAGCAGATTCGATGCCAGGGTTTTACTTCAAGGGATAAAATGAAGTCCAGCCCATAAACTCTTCCTCTTTATTCCTTCAAATGGGCAATATTGACCTTCAAGCACTAAAAGACAGCAACTGAACTCATTTCTTAGGTCACGAGAATAATAGTCTATGTCAACCATCCAAAATACCACTTTCAAGTTTCTCCCTTCTTGAGAGATAATTCCCTTCAGCATAATGTTCCAATTCCTTCCCAGAACATAAAACTGAAAGTCAGAGCTAAGTTTTATCTGCATCTCCACACCTGGCAGAGGGTTTCCCATGTAAAGGCGCTCGATAAATCATTAAATGAGGAAACACATGAAAGATTGAATCTGATCCTAATTTATCTTTCATATTATCTCACTCAGTTTCCCTTACTTAATCCTTCCTCCCACTCATCATATCCTTCTCATTGCCTCGTGAATGTCACTGGCTCTCTCCTTCCTCCATGGTAGTTCAGAATGTTCTATTCACCTGAAGAGACTGCCACTTACTGAGTTTCTATAGTGTACTATTTCAGACATGTTACCTCTATAATCCTAAAATAATAGTCACTACTATATTCATTTTACAGAAGATACTCAAAAACGCTGAGTAACTTCCCAAGATTACACAGCCAGCAAGAAAGGGCATGACAATTGACCCAAAACTGTCTGGTTTCAAAAGTTTTCTCCCTTCTAGGGAATTCTTCTCCCTTTGAGTCTCCAAATCCTACTTTTCTAAAATCGTTCTGTCTCTCAAGCTTCAAGGAGAGGAACTCTTTTCTGTCTACTCTATCTCTTTTTTATTTATTCATTCATTTATTTTGACCAGAGAGAGACACACAGGAGAGAGGGAGAAAGTGAGAAAGCAAGCCACCATGTCCAGGACTCAAACCATGGTCGGCCATGTGGGAGTGTCCAGCACCATAACCACCACGCCACCTGCTGGTCCCTAAATGCCTTTTTCAATACTCACAAAGATTCAACTGAGGGAAACAGTGGAGGCAGAGCATTTTAGTTGCAATTGATTTGATTTAAACTGAAATCTAGTAAGACTTGATCCTGACGCTGAATAATAGCTTGTGAGAACATTTGTCTAAAATTGTGCCTGCTTTCTGCTAACATTTAGTGATCTAACGATCAGCAAGTGTGGTAAAAAAAAAAAAAGTTTTTATTCTTGAATAAAGGCAATCATTACCAAACACACTCTGAAAAATTCATATCTTTTTTATTTCACTAGCCAAAGCAGATTTAGGTGTAACTGAATAGCCACACTGAACTTTCTCTTTTAATAATACACCAACTTTTAAAATAGTTAAGCCATTAGTTTATATTTAGAAAGCTGTAATCATCTGAGGTCTTATACAGCCTTCCATTTATTAAAAATGAATTCACACAAAAAGGCAACAATGTTTGAATTTGCTGTTCAAAAGACCCTCTCAGCAAGAAGTAATAAAATGTCAACTTCATTTAAATGAGACATTATTGACCCCCATTAGTAGGACACAGGCTTGGCTTGGCTTTTTCTAATGGTGATGATGGATTTGCTCTTGTCCATCTACTCCCTCCTACCCTGTCCTCTCATGACCTGGGGCAGACATATGCTAGACAGCTGGCTGGACCCAGTCTGTGGCCACTGAACAAAGCAAACCCTGCTGGCCCACACAAAGATTGAACCTGTGACCTTGTTCTCATTAGCCCATGCCCTAACCACCTGAGCTAAACAGCCACACACAAGTAAAAAAGAAAAAAAGGATAGATTGAACTTGGTGTAGTTAGATGTCCGCATGTGGGTGTCAAAGCCAGGTATCAAATAATATATAATAACCAACATAAAACAGGTGCTTATGTTTTAGAGTGTTATTATGTCTTATATATCTTGTGTCTCATGCCCCAGTGGCCCAGTGGGATCTTCCAAGTGGAGAGTCAAAAATATGGTCACCTTTATAGGAATTTTATTTTAACTCCGGAACATAATTCAACATGGTGCCAACTCTGAAATAAAGAACTTGACCATTGAGATTAGTCATTATCCGGTATGTATTAGGAGTTTCCGGGAGCAATAGATTTCACATTTCACATGATCTGAGTTCCACAAGGCCTTGGGATAAAAGAAAGGATAAGATTAGTGCACTCATGCAACACATAATGTTTCAGTCAACAACAGACCACATATAAGACAATGCCCCCATAAGATTATCACAGGCTATTGTATGTAGCCTAGCTATGCAGTAGGCTATGCCATCTAAACTTGGGTAAGTGAACATTATCATCCTATAAATGTTCACACAATCATGAAATCACTGAGTGATGCATTTCCTACAACCTCTTCCTGTTGTTATGCAAGGAATACTAAAGTTGATGACTATAGTTGAGAATGAAAACAAGAGCCAAGAATATGTGACTAGAAGACACTGATGCTGATATCCAGACAAACTTCCTGCTCTATCAGTTAATCTAGAAGTTTGCAAATATCCAGTGTGTTTTGGGACCACCAGATGGCATAATAGTTACATTGCTGGACTCCCATGTAACGGACTGCAGTTCAAGTCCCAGATCTGGTGTTAAAGCCCACACAGGGTGCATGTGTGTGTGTGCCCAAGATCTCAAGAGGAGACTGGAGGGAAAGGGATTGCAGTGTGGCCATTCCCCAGGGGGATGATTTCTCTCTGTCTCTCGCTGTCTCTCTGGCAAGCATGTGCATGCACCCTATAGCAAAAATCTCTAAAAAAAAAAAAAATCCAGTGTGTTTTTTATGTCTTAGCACTTCTTGTTATAGAGATCTCCTAACAGGAAAGGGGTCTCCTCTTGTGGAATAAACAATCACGGCCGTAGTCCAGTCCCGAGATGGAGGCCACCATGAAGAAGGAGGCTGCAGAAGATGTCAATGTTACTTTGGGTTGTTTTTTGTTTTTTTGTTTTTTTGGGTTTTTTTGAGAAGTTTTCACTATAGGGCGCGTGCATTCGCCAGATAGTCAGAGAGAGACAGAGAGATAGAAAACGAGAAATCACCCCCCCAGGGGGGGATGGTCACACCGCAATCCCTTCTCCTCCATTCTCCTCTCGGGATGTTGGGCACGCACGCACACGCGCCCAGCGTGAGTTTTAAGCCACCGGGTCCAGGACGCGAACCGTGGTCGACTACGTGGGAGTCCAGCAACAAAGCCATTACGCTAACTGCTGGTTCCCCCCAATGTTACTTCTGAAGAACAACAAAAGATAAACAAATTTGCATGGAATATGAGTAGAATCAGAGCTAAGAGAAGAAATTGAAGTAAAAAAGAAAATTCCAAAACTTAGCAGATGCTTGTGATGACATCATGCTTGCAGATAACGACTGTGTAATGATACCTGATCCAATCAGTGACATTTCCATCAGTCAGTCTCAAGAAGAGACTCAAGAAATGCTAGAAGAAGCAAAGGAAAATTTTCAAGAAGAAATTGATGCTTTAGAATCCAGAGTGGAATCGATTCAGTGGGTGTTTACAGATTTGAAAATTCAGTTTTATGCAAAATTTGGAAGCACCATAAACCTTGAAGCTAATGAAAGTTAAACACTTTATAAGACTTTTTTCATTTGTTTAATAAACTTGAATACTGTTCAAAATGAAAAAAGAGAAAAAAACATAGACTACACAATCACAAGGAAAGTCATTGAAGTCTAGATCCCCAGGTTTTTTCTCGTCCCTGAATAGACAGTGATTATGGTGCCAACCACTACGCATCACCCAAACTGTAGGTCCAACACAACATTCACACAGTGTGGAAACTCCCAGGTTAGACCAGAAATGTAACCACAAATAGAATATAAGCAGATTCGATGCCAGGGTTTTACTTCAAGGGATAAAATGAAGTCCAGCCCATAAACTCTTCCTCTTTATTCCTTCAAATGGGCAATATTGACCTTCAAGCACTAAAAGACAGCAACTGAACTCATTTCTTAGGTCACGAGAATAATAGTCTATGTCAACCATCCAAAATACCACTTTCAAGTTTCTCCCTTCTTGAGAGATAATTCCCTTCAGCATAATGTTCCAATTCCTTCCCAGAACATAAAACTGAAAGTCAGAGCTAAGTTTTATCTGCATCTCCACACCTGGCAGAGGGTTTCCCATGTAAAGGCGCTCGATAAATCATTAAATGAGGAAACACATGAAAGATTGAATCTGATCCTAATTTATCTTTCATATTATCTCACTCAGTTTCCCTTACTTAATCCTTCCTCCCACTCATCATATCCTTCTCATTGCCTCGTGAATGTCACTGGCTCTCTCCTTCCTCCATGGTAGTTCAGAATGTTCTATTCACCTGAAGAGACTGCCACTTACTGAGTTTCTATAGTGTACTATTTCAGACATGTTACCTCTATAATCCTAAAATAATAGTCACTACTATATTCATTTTACAGAAGATACTCAAAAACGCTGAGTAACTTCCCAAGATTACACAGCCAGCAAGAAAGGGCATGACAATTGACCCAAAACTGTCTGGTTTCAAAAGTTTTCTCCCTTCTAGGGAATTCTTCTCCCTTTGAGTCTCCAAATCCTACTTTTCTAAAATCGTTCTGTCTCTCAAGCTTCAAGGAGAGGAACTCTTTTCTGTCTACTCTATCTCAGAGTGGCCTCTCATTCATTTAACTTAGCGCTATTAACTCATGTAATTAATCACAGGCTGCCTCAACGCTCCATCTAGTGTTCCTTTCTATTTGCCTTTTAACTTTTTATTAATCTATTCCTTCTCAGCCTAACTAAATTGTAAGCTCACTAAGGACAGATTCTTTTTTTTAAAGAATTATTTATTTCATTTTATTTATCATTATTATTATTATTTTAACCAGAGAGAGACAGACAGACAGAGAGAGGGAAAGTGAGACAGCAAGCCACCAGACCTGGGACTCATACTGCAGTTGGCCAAGTGGGAGTCCAGTGCATTAACCACCATGCTACCTGCTGGTCCCAGGACATATTCTATATGTAGTAAATGGGTGTTTTTGTTTTGTTTTGGTTTGGTTTGGTTTGGTTTTTTTGGAGAGGTTTTTGCTATAGGGCGCGTGCGCTCGCCAGACAGACAGAGAGAGACAGAGAGACAGAAAGCGAGAAATCACCCCCCAGGGGGGATGGCCACGCCACAATCCCTTCTCCTCCATTCTCCTCTCGGGTTCTTGGGCACACACGCACATGCGCCCAGCATGAGTTTAAGCCACCGGGTCCGGGACTCGAACCGCAGTCGACTACGTGGGAGTCCAGCGACATAGCCATTACGCTAACTGCTGGTCCCTATATGTAGTAAATTGTTGTATTGCCCCATATGTGTGGAAGAGACTTTTGCATGTGGTAGGTATTTAATAAATATACGCTGAGTGATTGATGTCTTCACCTTCATCTTCCCACCAACAATCTTTGTGCCAATTCCCATTGTTACGAAAATAAATAAATAAAATAGAAAACACTCCTTGAAATGTTTACCTCCTGAGGTTATTATAATAAAGGCATAAAACTGGAAGACTTTGAAAATTCACTATGGTTTTAAGATATTTCAAAGTCTTTCATTATTACATTTCTGGAGCATCTCTGCTCCTAAGAAGTCTACCATACCACTGTTAGTGAGATCATCTCGTTAAGATTTTTCTTGTTTCCTTCAAATACCCTCATTTTCAAAGGTTAATTACCTGGTTGTAAAAGTGCACTCCAGAATGAAATTTAACCTATGAGTTCTCCATCTTGAAGTGAATATTCTTAGCAGTTTGTTTCAAAAATAGAAAGCCATCTGTTTAACCAATTTAAATACATACTTACAGAAGAATAAAAAAAAGGAATACAGAGGTTCATGGATTTTAAGCACTTTCAAGTATTTGTGAAACACATTATGACTTTGATGCTTGGAAAAATTATGAAGTGGTGCTTTCAGCTATAAATCAGCAGCAGCAAATAAAGCAGGGCTAGAAGTGGGGATATCTCTAGGACAAAATTTTTTTGATCATCTAAAATGTTGATCATTTGCGGGCCACAGAAAAGGAGAATTTATTATTTTTGAGTGGTTCAATTTCTTAGGGAGATAAAGAACATATAATTTGGGAGAACATCAAACAGAATGTGGTTCTTATTAATGTCACATAACCTTTCCAGCAAAACTTTTCCCTGCTCTAGTCTAGCTCCCATCAGAACCAAACTAAACATGTTGACAGCTACAAGTTAGGAAGGTGTTAGGCCAATAGTCTACCCTTTTGAGAAACTGGATCATTAACTCAATATCACTTAACTAGTTTTCTTCTTAAACCAAATACATGGGGACAGACTCTATTCTGCAGGGTTTAATCACACGTGAGTGGCAAAACTCACAGCTCCTGGAGCCGGCAGGTGGAGTGGTGGTTAAGCCACTAAACTCTCATATGGCAGACTGAGGTTCAAACCCAAACCTAGCAGCTTGCTTTCTTACTTTCCCTCTCTCTTTCTCTGTCTCTCTGGTGAGCACATGTACCCTAAAACAAAATTTAAAATAATAACAATAATAATCATGAATAAAATTAAAATAAATAATTCTTTAAAAAAAAAAAAAAAAGCTCCTCTTCAGCTGGATTTTTGTATGTTCGTGTCACTTGCATTATCATTAGTATGAATAAAACTGCTATTTTACACATTCAGAAGAGGCTAGACCTCAGTGCTTGTGGTTTGATATGTTCTCATAAAAATTATATTGTCTCTTGGGATCAGCAGAGGGCGTAATAGTTACGTTGCTAGATTCCCATGTAGTCGACTGTGGTTCAAATCCTGGACCCAGCAACTTAAAACTCACACTTGGCACATGTGCATGCGTGCCCAAAATCCCAAGAGGAAAATGGAAGAGAAGGGATTGTGGCATAGCCTTACCCCCTGAGGGGTGATTTCTCACCTTCTGTCTATCTCTCCAGCAGTGCATATGCCTTCTGGGAAAAAAAAATATATCTCCAAAAAAAAGTATTATATTGTCTTATTACAAATGTGTTTGTATGCTTTGATATGTTTTAGAATTGAATATTCTCCTCCAGAGCAGACTAAATTATAATTTTTTTACTGAACAGTCTTTGAATTACTTATTTTGTTTCTTAAACATTCATAGAAATCTAGAATTAACATTTTTATTTTTAGAATTTTCAAGAACATTAATGAACTCCAGTATCTAAAATTTACTTTATTCTAAGTCTCAATAAACATTTATTAAAGAATGAATGAATGAATCCAGTCACCTAAACTTGAAAACCCAATCCATAATCACGAAGTACTGTTGCTTAGAGTAGATCCCAAGACAAGTCTTCAAAAAACTAAGCTAGGGGACCAGCAGGTAGCATGGTGGTTAAGGCGCTGGACATTCCCACATGGCCAACCCCAGTTCAAATCCCGGACCTGGTGGCTTGCTTTCTCACTTCTCCCTCTCTCTCTGTGTCTCTCTCTGGTCAAATTAAAATAAATGAATGAATAAATAAAATTAAAAATAATTCCTTTAAAAAAAAAAAAACTAAGGTGGGGCCAACAGGTGGCATGGTGGTTAATGTGTTGTACTCCCACTGACCACAGTTCAAGTCCTGAACCTGGTGGCTTACTTTCTCTCTCTCTCTCTCTCTCTCTCTCTTTCTCTCTGTCTCTTTCTGGTCGATTTAAATTTAAATGAATAAATAGATAGATAAATAAGCTTATGTAGTTGAATCTGCTTCATTGTGAGTCTGAATTTCAGGAGAAAATGGTCTTAAAGTTTTTAAAAGATCCAGACAAAGAATTGTTTAGGCAGAGATTGAAAAAATAACAGATGAGACTAAAAATAAAGAATTGTTTAGGCAGAGATTGAAAAAATAATGGATGAGACTAAATATTTTTTTTAATTATTTTATTTAATTTTTTTCTTTTTTTCTTTCTTTCCTTTTGTTCCTTTCTTTCTTTCTTTATTTAAATTTGACCGCAGAGAAACAGAGTGACAGAGAGAGGGAGAAAGTGAGAAAGCAAGCTAGCAGGTCCAGGACTCAAACTGCTATTGACCGTGTAGGCAGTCCAACATCCTTAACCACTCTGCCACCTGCCGGCCCTGAGACTAAATATTAATAGAAGAAGTAGCTGGAACTTTCCCTTGCGTGAAAGAAGAGAACCATTGGGGCTAGCTCCTAAATCTCCTCTTGAGGTCATCCCTGCGTTGGTGAACCCAGAGTCATATTCCAGAGTTACATGGCTATCTATCAAAACAAAGCAAAAATGAATGAATGCCAACAATGCATTCAGGGATCACCATTCTCCCAAATGCCACCGCTCCTACTACTGCCACTGTGTCTAGTCCCATCTATTATTACAACAACAAACATATCCAAGTGGGAAGCCTGCTCACTAGTCTGTAACTTGAGACACCCAGCAAAGAACACTGAACCTGACATTGAAGATTCACGTTTCCAAGAGTCAATGATCCTATCCACTCATCTGGAGAGCAGAAGAAAGAAGACAATCAAGGCTGGATGCATGCAGGTTCCCAGTTTTTATTAAGGAACTTATATCAAACTCAACATACTATGCAGTGACTAATACCTCTATACCCGACAAGTTGTTAGCTCCTTAAAGGCAGAGACATTAACCTGGATTCACTTAACAATGACCTCCATAAAGCCCAAAGGCTCAGGTTTGACAGGTGGCATGGTGGTTAAGGCACTAGACTCCCAAATGGCCAACTGCAGTTCAAATCCCAGATCTGGAGGCTTGCTTTCTCACTCCCTGCCACCCACCACCACCCAACCCTCCCATCTCTCTGGTCAAAAAATAATAATGATGATGATGATGAATAAAATTAAATAAAATAATTCTAAAAAAAAAAAAAAAGCCCCAGTGGGGCTGGCACATGACATGGTGGTTAAGGCAGCTGGACTCCCACATGGCTGACCATGGTTCAAGTCCCAGACCTGGTAACTTGTTTTCTCACTTCCCCTCTCTCTCTGTCTCTCTCTGGTCAACTTTAAAAATAAATTAATTAATTAAATAAAATAATCACAATGAATAAAGTTAAATTAAATAATTATTTTTAAAAAAAACCCAAGGGCTTCCATACACCAAAAGTTTAATAAATATGGGGCAATTAAGTGAACAGCAGTAAATAAAAGAACCTGCATGTGTGAGTTTCATGCCTGCTTCTTACTACGTGACCTGGGTAACTTCTTTTTGCCTCATTATGCATTCACATCATCCCAAAAGGAGGCAGAGATAGAGGACAAGAAATTGTACTGTGACTCTTTCTCCTCTTCCTCCCTCTGTTTTTCTCTGGTGAGTGAGTGTGTCCTCCAGTAATATATTAATAATAATGATGATGATGATAATAGCGATATTTTACTGGGTAATTGGGAAAAATAAATGAGTTTATATGAGAAATATACTTAGAATAGGACCAGGCACATAGTATGGAAGAACTGCAAAAAGTATATTTTTAAAAAAATGGAATTAAGTATGAGTTTATTTTAATGCCAAAAAAAAAGTCCATGCATACTTTTTTATATATGCATTTTCTACAAACTTTTTGAACCCCTCCCACACATACACACACATATACATGCCACTATTATTATTTTTTGTACTACCTCTGATTTTGGTGTGGGGTAGAGCAGGGCCTTGACCAACTTCCAGAGCTTCACATAAGGTGTCCATCACCCTGAGTAAATGTCCCAACGATAAATCATCCTGCTTTTGTGAATGAAAAAACAAAGGTCACTACTCAATAAAATGAATTTCCCAAAAGGCTTGATGATTTGCAGTGTTCAAAAAGATCTTCCAGAGTGAAAATCTTGTCACTACTCTTGCCCTAAAATATATATTAAAAAAAAAATAAAAGTTGTATTGAAGTTACTGCCCAAGGTCCATTAACATTAAACATTAAAAAAAACTTACAATATTACACACATGATTTGCACAAAATACCATCGGTGTGATAGGTCTGGCCATGTTTCCCAGGCTAGTCTCAAACTGCTGTCCTCCTGCCTCAGCTCCTCAGTAGCTGGGACCACATGCACACGCCGCCACAGCACCCAGCTGGTGGTGATTTTGACAGGTACAAGGAGAATCCCAGCATTGCTAGCTGTTCACCAGGCTTAACCTCAGATGATGATTCAGCTAAACGCTATATTGGATTTCATCATTCCCATTCTCTCTGCTCCTGCAGTAACTCTTTGAGGAGGTTACAGTTATTAAGAGTGCCCTGTGTGCCTGAGTGTGTGCACTCTGGTCACCATGGAAACACGGTAAGGGGACCAGACATGGGGACATCTTAAAACAAAACAGCTGCATCAGAAGTGGTCAAAGCTCTATGCAATATGATAGCTGCTATTAAACCCCACTCTGAGCTTTTCTTGTCTTTGATGATTTCATTCTCCTCTCAATACTTCATCATTCTTTTCCTGACTTCAAGTCAGCCTCATAAAATCGGCCCAATTTTTGTTTGGGTTTCTATTAAAGGTTTGGTTATCTTGTTGTTGGTTTCAGGATGTTGGTGGGTTTGGTTTTGCTTTTGGTTTTTTTTTCTTTGTGTAGTTAGTCTGGGGAGATTGCAAAGTGAGGTGGACTCATCATGTTAAATTGTCTCACATAGAACTAGGAAATTTTTTTTTCTCCAGTATTCACCTGTTTTACAGCCACTGCACTGCACAGAACTTCCTCTTGGTAAGCAGCTGGAAATGCCCATGTGTGCTGCAACTGATTACTTTTTTTTCTGGCTCTGTGATATAGTCTTCTTTCCTGACACCTCTCATTCCATAGCGAGCGAAACGCCTCATTTCCACATCCGCGAATGGCATCCCTCAACAGCTTATTATTCACTATTGGAAGAGAATAAGAGCTGACATGCAGTGTTGACATAAAAAATATTCTCAAATTTTTTAATAAAAAATCTTTTTTTTTATTCTGACATTTAAGAATGTAATGCACTTTAAGATCCCTTGAAGCAGTTCTAAGACATTGTAAACCTACTTTTAGGGAAAGCATTTAAATGAAATGTTCCCCAGATTAACATACCTTAATTCCACCATTGTGTTTAGCATAATCTTTTCTTAGGGTGACAATGAATAAGCCATCTGTTAAAGGCTATTTAATGATGCGGAACCGAAGCCTAGACTTAGCCAGCCAACTCATTGGGACCTTTTCCAGCTCCCAAGGACCACCTGGGATTCATCTCAAGTCTCCGATTTCTGTGTTTCAAATCAGCCACTCAAAGATACTATTTGCTGTCAGCAAGTCCCTGATTTATTTAATCCTCCCCCAAAAAATGTCCTGAAATTCTCACAATTTAACCCCCTATTTGTCATGACGGCAACTCCTCTGTAATGACTAAATCACCCTCCAGCATTGTCAGGTGTTTGTGGAAGGTTCCTTGACGGTGCTGGTGGCCCGGGAAAGTAAGACCAACTCTTTGTAATATTAATGTGACTTTATCTTCTCAACAAGTCCCCAATAAGATTTTCTAAAATAGTATTTATCATCTGCACTAGTCCTCTCCAAACATAAGAATACTGAAGCATATTACAAGCTTATAATAGTGTGTGGAAACTCACTGTATCTTTACAGTTCTCACTTTAAGAATAGCATTACTGGGGCTGGCAGGTCCAGTGGTGGTTAAGGCACTGGACTCCCACATGGCCAACTGTGGTTAGAGTCCCGGACTTGGTGGCTTGCTTTCTCACTTTCCTTCTCTCTCTCTTGCTCTTGCTCTGACCTTCTCTGGTCAAATTAAAATATAAATAAATAAATAAAAAAAAAAAAAAAAAAAATTTTTAAAAAAAAAAAAAAAAAGAATAGCATACTGAGTCAGCCTATAGAACAGTGGTTAAGCACAGTTCATTGGGAACTGGATCCCGCCTGACCAGCTGCGGTTCAAATCTCAGACCTGGAGGCTTGAAAATTACACAGGCAGGTGTGTACATGCCCAAAATCCTGACAGAATGGGGGCAAAGTTCTCTTCTCTCTCTCTCTCTCACTCTCTTTCTTTCTCTCTTTCTGGCAAGTGCATGAACCTTTAGCAATAAAAAAAAAAATGGCACTACTAATTTAATCAATAATGTACTCACTGTTTTTTAGATTTAACAGTACAATGTAGGAAAAAAGGGATCAATCAGAATAAAAAGAAAAAGAATAAAACTACATAAAGTAAAAAGAGACAAGAAGGCTAATAAAAAAAAAACTTCCCTGACTGATTTTTTAAACAGTTATTTATTTTATTTTATTTATTCATTCATTTATTTTAATTTGACCAGAGAGAGAGGGAGAGAGTGGGAAAATGAAAAAGAAAGCTACCAGGTCCGGGACTCCAACCGTGGTTGGTCATGTGGGAGTGTCCAACGCCTTAACCACCACACCACCTGCTGGTCCCCCCCCATTGATTTAAAAATATATTGGAAAAGGCTAACAGGTGGCATGGTGGTTAAGGTACTGGATCCCACAGAACGACTCCAGGGTTCGAGTTCCAGACCCACCAGCTTGAAAATCAGTTCAGCCACATGTTTGTGCCAAAAATCCCAAGCGGAGAATAAAGGAGAAGGAACTGTGGCATGTCCATCCCCCCTCACTTTCTCTCTTTTTCTTTATTTCTCTCTGGTGAGCACAAGCACCCTATGGGGGAAAATATTTGCAAAGGTTAGCAGATAGCATGGTGGTTAAGGTGCTGGATCCCACATGGCCAGCTCTGCAGTCAAGTCCCAGAGGCAGGGACTTAAAAAAAACAGACAAGGCATGTGGGCATATTTGCCCAAAGTCTCCAGAGAAGAATGGAAGAGAAGGTTCTGCAGTATAGCTATCACCCTGCCCCTGAGGGTGATTTCTCTCTTCTGTCTCTCTCTGTCTCTCTCAAGCAGGTGCACATACCTTATGGCAAAAATCAAAAAAAAAAAAAATTCAGCAAAGAACTTTCAATTAGAGATAATTTGTCTTTTTCTTTTTCTTTTTCTTTTCTTTTTTTTTTTTTTTTTTTTTGAGAGGTTTTCGCTATAGGGCGCGTGCGTTCGCCAGAAAGACAGAGAGAGACAGAGAGACAGAAAGTGAGAAATCACCCCCCAGGGGAGATGGCCATGCTGCAATCCCTTCTCCTCCATTTTCCTCTCAGGATCTTGGGCACACACACACATGCACCTGGCGTGAGTTTAAGTCACTGGGTCCAGGACTCGAACCGCCGTCAACTACATGGGAGTCCAGTGATATAGCCATTACGCTAACTGCTGGTCCCAATTAGAGACCATTTAAAGAATGTAGACACAGAACATCAACAAGAAAATGGCAAAATTAGCATGGCTCCTCGTTGTAATTAAGAGATCTTGTCAGCCAAAAGAAGAAAAAAGGAGTAAAAATATTGATGACATGAAACCAACAGTAAATCAGTCAAGCTACCAGGTCCGGGACTTGAACTGCACAGTCAGCCAACTGGGATACAGCCATCTTAATCACCGTGCCATCAGCTGGTCCTGTATGAGTTTTTGTTGGTACAAAAAAGTTTTGAAATTTGGGTCTGGCCAATGTGCCACAGGACTAATGTAAGTTTCCTGCAAGACTGGAAGCCATAAAGCCAATCATGATTTCAGATCCCCAGGCATACTTGAAAACCTGCAAGGCACATGTAGGGGTCCACAGGATCCTGCTGGATGGCGCGGAAATGGATAGCAGCATGATGAGAGTCTATCAAAGTGCCTCTCTCCCTCTCTCTTTCTCCCTCTCTCCATCTCTCTCTCTCTCCCTCCCTCGCAGACACACAAATGCTCTATTACTCTATTGTTTAAAAAAATTTTCTTTGAAATGCATGTATTGTTTGTTTGCTTGTTTTGTTTTGTTTTGTTTTGTTTTTAGTTTTTGCTATAGGAAGTATACATTTGCTAGAGAGAGACAGACAGGGATAAAGAGAGAAAGTGAGAAATCACTCCCCAGAAGGGATGGCCACACCACAATCCCTTCTCCTCTAGGCTCCTCTCAGGATGTTGGACACCTGCTCAGTTGGGTCCTGCATGATTTTCAAGCTGCCAGGTCCAGGATTTGAAAGGCACAGCCAGTCATGTGGGATCCAACACCTTAACCTCCATGCCACCTGCTGGCCTCATCATGCATCATTTTATGAATAATATGCATTTCTATGAAATTTTTGAAGACATTCTGATATATAATTTATCAATAAGGAGCACAAATGTATAATTTGCAAACAAATATACTTAAAATTTTTTCACTGCTGGGGTGTGCCAGAAAAAGGTCAGAAAAAAAATCATTAAGAAAGGATGGTTTTTTTTAAGTATTTATTAAATTTTATTTGTTATTATGCTTTAGTTAGACCAGAGAGAGAAAGGGAAACTGAGAAAGCAAGCAGCCAGGTCCAGGACTCGAATCACGGCAGGCCATGTGGGAGTCTAGCTCCTCAACCGCCACACCACCTGTCGGCCTCTAGGGTTTTTTCTTTTTTTTTTTGGATGTTACTTTCTTCAGTTTAGACCTTTGTGTTAGGCATGAATATACCATACCACGCGTGACAAACAAGGCATCAGGCTATGTCTCCACTGACAGTCTAAAGGGTTGCTGTCGTGAGGACCATCTCCCCCTATCTTTCTAGAGCCTCTAGACAGCCAGAAGCCATTGCCTTCACCCCATCAACCCTGAGAGCTGGAAGCCAAGTCAGACTTCTCACACAGCTTATGAAGTCCCCAGGCAATCAACATCCCCACACTTAGCGGCTCAGGAAGGTAGCTGTGGCGTGTCACTCTAACATTGTCGAGTTACGCCCAAAACAATAGGTGGCATTTATTAAACACCTACTCTATGCCAGACCTTTTACCAAGGGCCTCGCGTGAACCATCTCACTACATATTATCACAACAAAGTGACTGAGTCTATGATTATGATCCACCTTTTACAGTTGGGATAGCTAAAGTGAACAATGTTAAAAAATCCTCCCAAGGTCCTACAGCTGATAATTGTAGTCAAGACTCAAAACCAGGCCTCTGACCCAAGGTCCCTGCTCTGAATCACTATGCAATCCTGCTTTACATGCATAGTAGTAGCTCTATGGAATGTCACTATTAAGATACCGTTACAAGAAAATTCACTTGAAAAATATTGCATTCTGGGACCAGCATTGTGGTTAAAGCAACTGGATTCGACATGGCCAACTGCGCTATTCAAGTGCCAAACTCAATGGCTTGAAAATCACGCCAGACATAACCCAAGAGGAGAATGGAGGAGCAAGGAAAGTGCCATGGTTCTCCCCTCGGGGGAGACCTTCTCACTTTTTCTCTCTCTCTCCTCTCCCCCTCACAACTTCCGGAGTGCAAGTGTCCTATCACCAAAATAACAACAACAAATCACATTCTAAATGTAATTTTTAAATTTTGTCTTTATTTATTAATTGAGACAGGGTCTTGCTATATTGCCCAGGCTAGCCTCTCATTCATGGTCCTGCCTCACTTCCTGAGTAGCTGGTATTACAGGCGTAGGCCACTACACTTCCTCATGGAAATTTTGTTTCCTCTTGAAATCAAAATATTCAGCAAAATACATCATCGATCTTGTAATAAACCTCAAAAGTAAATTATAATTGTATTGCAAGAATTATTTTTTACGAACTTTTTTTTTCAGGTTTCTGCCATAGAACATGTGTATTTGCAAGAGAGAGAAAGAGAGACAGAGAGACAGAGAGAGGGAAGGTAGAAAAGGGGCATGTCCATGCATTAATCCCTACTCTTCTGTTCTCCTGCCAAGATTTCAGGCACACACACACACATGCCTGCCATGAGTTTCAAGTTGCCAGATCTTGGTTGACCATGTGGAAGTCCAGTGCCTTAACTACCATGAGACC